AATCTCCATTACGTCACAATCAACAATAGCTAATGTTTTAATCTCCATTATGTCACAATCAACAATAGCTAATGTTTTAATCTCCATTATGTCACAATCAACAATAGCTAATGTTTTAATCTCCATTATGTCACAATCAACAATAGCTAATGTTTTAATCTCCATTATGTCACAATCAACAATAGCTAATGTTTTAATCTCCATTATGTCACAATCAACAATAGCTAATGTTTTAATCGCCATTATATCACATGTAACAATAGCTAATGTTTTAATCTCCATTATGTCACAAGTAACAAAGCTAATGTTTTAATCTCCATTACGTCACAATCAACAATAGCTAATGTTTTAATCTCCATTATGTCACAATCAACAATAGCTAATGTTTTAATCTCCATTATGTCACAAGTAACAATAGCTAATGTTTTAATCTCCATTATGTCACAAGTAACAATAGCTAATGTTTTAATCTATTACATCAGAATTAACAGTAGCTAATGTTTTAATCTCTATTATGTCACAAGTAACAATAGCTAATGTTTTAATAACCATTACATCAGAATTAACAATAGCTAATGTTTTAATATCCATTACATCAGAATTAACAATAGCTAATGTTTGAATCTCCATTATGTCACAAGTAACAATAGCTGAAGCTACTATAGCATGCGGTCTACAAAAATATTTACACTATAGCATGCAGTCTACACAGCTACTATCATCATCATCACCATTTTAACTTTCATTTACTTGCAACTGGCACCACTTATTATAAATAATGCTTTTAAACTAAAAAAGTACAAAATACCATCACATAATGTATATGGGACAGATATAATTGAAATGAATTAAATTCAAAAATTAAAACTAGTACAATTACAACCTAAATTTAAGGTACTCTTTTGGAACACACACAACTTATTAAATTATTATTATTTGCGGAACAAAAATGTGGATAGATATAAATGATTTAGCAAGAAATTATGTTTTATTGAATCATTAAAATGGTGATGATGGTATCTGAGTAGACCGCATAGCTAATGTTGTAATCTCCATTACATCACAAGTAATAATGTCATAATTATTAATTTACATCAAATAGTTTTCCTCAGGCAAGTTACAAAGTTTCTTGCAAGTGTCTAGTTCCCATAGGATCAAATCTAATTTCTTTTTACACAAAACCACATGCCTGAAAGAAGTCATTTTTAAAATCTAATTAAAGTTTTTAAGCTAAAGCCATTGTCATTTCCTGAAGCTGAAATTCGTTAAGGGTTCTCCAGACAGATGAACAAGATCATCCATGCTTTTTACTGTTTTGCTGGTTAGTTCCTGAACATCTTTATTGATTTTAGTAATAACCCACTCCATACCTTGCTTGCCCTGTTGGAAGATAATAAAGTAGATACTTCTAGTTTAGAGAATATTAACGAAAAAATATTATACATAAAACATATAAAGAAGCTATAATCTCAAAACATCAAGACAAGATAACATAACTTTGGTAATACTTATCACCTTTCTTCCAATTCTATAGAGGTAGGATTGATATTATGTCATGGTTATTATACACACAACGACACCAAAGAACAGAATAAATATAATGATTTAGTTAAAATCTTAAGAGCTTTCTCCTGATTTTATGGAGACAGGACTGATATTATGCCGTGGTTATTATATACAAGGACACTAAAGAGTCAGATAAAGTTTATATTTTCCTACACTGATAGATCCTTACCTCCACTCATATAATAGCTTTTCTCATTCAGTGCTGCCCTCTACATGCCCCAACTTTTTGCTCGCCACTAGTCTTTAAACTTCCATCCATCCCATGTTTCAACATGGTTCATTTGCTTTGTAGCATGCAACAATCCTCCACAAATAGGAGCACAACACACAGTCCTGTCACAGCTGGCTCCCTTTTTTACTGTAGAACCCAATCATCATCATTGCACTGCACTATAGCAAACATGGATTCATCAGAGATTTCTCATGGTATTTCTGTAGTCATTGAGTCATCCATTGACATTGGCAATTCATCAACAAAATCACTTGATGAAATATGCCAAGCTATTAGTAATCTATCAAATGCTGAAAAGTATTCCTATCTTTATAAGATTGTGGCATCACCAAAAGTTTTTCCTACCACCTTTTCTCATGGGTATAATCACAATTTTAAAATAACTTGGCTTGAAAAATATCCATGGTTATTATACAGCCCAAAACAGGATGGCATATTTTGTGGTCCTTGTGCTACCCTTCTTCCAGTGCATAATCAACATGATAAAGTAGTACAAATCATTTAACAACCAAGTAAATATTGATACTTTAAGGAACCATTCTAAGCTTGTTTATCATCATGATTCTATGCACACTATTGATGCTTTGAAGGTTTCCATTGAACATCCATCATTCAATGGAACTTATATTACTACCAATATTGCCCTTCAATCACGTATAACATATTCTTCATCAAATTGTTTGTGCCATTTTTTTTTTAGGAAAACAAGACTTTGCAGTTCATGGTGATATCAAAGATGTAAATTATAAACAAGATTACGACACTTATGATAAACAACATTGTTTACTGACAAAAAGGGGACATGGATAAACGTTTTGGAATTCTATCAGATTCCATCTTCAGTATCTAAAGCAGATGAAAATGAATTTACATCAGTCTTTATACATTTTCAAAGTACAGTTGCTAAATATAACGATAATTAAACAAATTAAACACTAAACAGTAATCATGGGGATAAACTACAGCAAGAAAACACAATGAAAAGAAAAAAAACAAGAAAAACAAGAAAAAAAAACGAAAAATCAGT